CGACCATCAGATAGCACCTTAACCTCCAGGCCATGCCAGGCTCCAAAGAGAAGGCTACAAGTCGGCAGCACCCATTACCGAGTTTTGATCCCACAACCCTCACATTGCGAGTCGAACAACGAAACAGCCAGACCATGCCAGGCCGTTTGAACAACTATAAGCGACCCTCAGATGGCACCTTAACCTCCAGGCCATGCCAGGCCCCAAAGAGAAGGCTACAAGTCGGCAGCACCCATTACCGAGTTTTGATCCCACAACCCTCACATTGCGAGTCGAACAACGAAACAGCCAGACCATGCCAGGCCGTTTGAACAACTATAAGCGACCCTCAGATGGCACCTTAACCTCCAGGCCATGCCAGGCTCTCGACGTAATTAACTTTGATACTATATATACTGCAGACGGTGTATTCCATCGAGAAATAGGCGATCTAAATCAATATGGTTGGTATTTGAATGTGCGTGAAAACGATCGATGTGAACAAAGTTAGTTGGAAAACGAGCCACCCTCGGAGAAACCTTTCGTGCACTTAACAAAAACAAAACTAGAAATCGTAAATATATAGATGTTACGTTCGTTTGAACGTATAAGATCTTATCTCTAGCAATCTCATCATTCTACAACAAGAGCTGGAAAGTCTTAAAAGCCGTTCACCTGTTTACTTTTATGCAAATTAATCTCCGAAAAACAGGTTGTTATTGGTATCATTTAAACACTGTCTCCCCACTATCTAGTGGTTTGTTTCATGCATATCTCTCTCGTTAGGCCTTGCCTGTTAAGGTAAGGACCAGGTATTAAAAACGTATCATTTAATTGTATATTCTACTCCGTGCTTTAAGGCTAATAACCTATTAATCATTTCATTTTATCCACTTTATCATTCCTTATGACGCATTTATCTGTTTGGCATGTTTATCTACTTGGCGACCACTCTCTTGTTTATCTACTTGGCGACCACTCTCTTGTTTATCTACTTGGCGACCACTCTCTAAAAACTGGAACAAATAGCTACAGAACAGTCTATGATAGAAAGGAATAACATAGTCATAGTGGACTCTCTAAATAGCATGAAGAATTATAAACCGTTCTGCGATGTTACCAAATTAAGGTAAAGTAGTGGAAGAGATTCGGGGTTCGATACCCGTGGTGGGCCTAGCACAGATAGCCCTTTGTGTAGCTTTGTGGTTTATAACAAACAATAACAACTCTAGTTTTAAAATCCAGCATGTTAAAATAAACTTATTTATATATAATAAACAACAACTTTAGTTTTAAAATCCAGCATGTTAAAATAAACTTATTTATATAATAATAAACAACAACAACTTTAGTTTTAAAATCCAGCATGTTAAAATAAAGTTATTTATATAATAATAAACAACAACAACTTTAGTTTTAAAATCCAGAACATGACATAAAAGCCATTGTTGGGACATAGCGTTACCAAAACGCACTGGCTTTTCTATATATTAGAAGTTTTTAATGTAACTGATTTTTTACCAATAACTATTCTATTAATAAGCCACGAATTCATTTCACGAGTAATCTTAATTTTGATTGGCTCATAAAGGAATTTACTGACGTTTCACTGCCTCGACTGGACTTTTCTGCCTCTTTGTTGGTCAAGTTTGATTTCGCAAAATTTATTTATGTCAGTTACTAGCTACGAAGTGTGAGGTTAGGGTGTACTATGGGGTGGGGTTGGTAGTACTTGCCCCGTTATTTTTCACGGGCTGTACGCCAGTGTTTAAGTAAAAACAAAAGCCTTTTAAAAACTTGCAAAGACTTAAACATTTTTCGGTTCTTGGAAGCTTACTTTATGTTTTAATCTACTCGTTAGTAAGAGAAATAAGTTTATTTTAACATGGCTTAGTTACAAAACTATAACCTGATATTGTTGTTAGTCTATGTACTGAAAGTATAAAATGAAATGTAAAGACAACAAAACTGGAAAAATATTTGTTGATTTCTTAATATAGTCTCCGTTGATTAAAGAGGTTTTTATTTTATTAAAAACGTTGGTGATATAACAGAAAATAGCTTAATTAAGAATCGTTTAAAACTGAATCGATATTTTTATTTTCATGATAAATGTTATGCAATTGACTCTAGGTTAGGTGATCCCACGCTACGTCTTTACTTTAGGCTTTTCATACCAACACTCACTACACTTATAAGGTTTCACAGAACTCCCCTCCCCTCCCTCACGGCACCCTTTCACCTCCGTCACTCAAATCGTAATGGGCAGACAGTAATCGAACTATTCTATCTGGATAAATGCATTTTGGCTTTTATGACTCCTCCTATTTCAAGAAATCAGACGTGACGTGACACACACTGGCTTTTATATAGGTCAGATGTGTCTCTTTGCAAAGTCACACAACCTTTGAATGAATAAAGATATTGATATACCGTGAAACATATATCGCCGTGCCCGATTTCTTGGTTTTATGGAAGCTGTAACTTGTAGTGTGAAGGACAGGTGGCGCTAGTTATATGTCCTTATCAAAAATGGCTTAGTGCGTAAACACATCATTTCCGCTGTAAACAATGGCTATCGATTTATACATTGTACCTTATAACATAGATTATTTGAACACCTGTTCAGCGCACCTTCTATTTTAAAATTTATATGCAGTAGCGCCACCTGTCATTGACGCTGCAGCTTGTAGTATCAAGTCGACTGGAAAGCGTGCACATCGTCATATGCTTGTGTGAATTATATAGGTAATGATGTAATAGGAATTAAGATGGCATTGTATTAACACTTTATGCTTGTAATCACGTTCAGCTATGAATCACATCACATATTAAACTTATTAGTTACATCTTATTGCCTATGTCATGACGTAGGCATCACATGTCATATAATGCAAGTGTTACATGCTTCGTTAAGATATCCCACGTAATATAATTGGCACAGATGTTATTTTTAAAGTAATAATAATTTATACATTAAAAAATAAATGCCATTGAAGACTTTTCCACTCACCATGTTGAACCATTGGTGAGCGTTTCCCTTCAAAATAGATAAATATAAAAAAACTATTCCAGTAGTATCGGATGAAGTACAAAACACATGTTGATGTCGGTGAAGATGATATTTATTTACAAAATACGTTAGATATCTTTTTATATCTCTCTGAAGTTAATTTCATGACGTTACAATTATGTCTTTAAGAAATCATTAACAGATAAAGGATTGGCCTGTTTCATAAATTATAATATATATATATTCTTCATACAGTTGATTTAAAATATGAACTTTATACAGTGCCTTAACCTCGGGAGGATTAAGCCTTACTTTTTTTGTTCTTTTATAAATGAGGAAACACGTAAGTGTATAAATATTCATGTCAGGATTAAAACCGTGTCTGACTTATATGTTAAAATAACGTTTAAAGAAAGCTTATCGATTGATCTGAATAACTATGTAGTTAAACTTGAAGTGGCTTGAAACAGGACGTTTATCTTTGATAAAACAACAAAATGGCAACAAGATGTCATTTGTTTTCCGTTCCTGTCGAGAGAAGGTGGTTTTATATCGTGTATCTGTTGGATATATATATATATATTATATAATTTGTTTCTTTTTTTTTAATCCTAGAACATCTTCTGGCTTCGGCAGCTAGATGACAGGCCCTAGTAGCCATCTTGTGAGAGATGACTTCAACAGCGAAACCACAGAATAGAAACCGCACCTTCGATTTTACCACAGTGTACGATATACGACACAGCAACGTCGAAGGAACAGAGGAATCACAGAAAACAATAACTGACGACGAAGACGACGACGAAAGAATGGTGATAAGTGAAGACCGTACATCCACTGGATCCCCGGAAGTCGGGAGTCCTCTGGACTCTCTTCATATGATGGGCCCATTTAATGGAGACGATACGAGAGAATCCGACTCCAAAAGCGTGAATAGTGAAATGATAGAAGACCAGAATGAGGAGGAGAAAGGGAACATAGACTCCAATCTTTGTGACGACGATAATTCCGAAGTGCCTTCTACTGTAGGATCCCAAGATGTAGAAACACCTGAAGAGAGCGAAGCTGAAGATTTCGGAACTGGTTCCCGGTTTGAATCCTCTACGTCATCTTCTCGACGTAACAAAAGAAAGAACTTCCAGCCACGAAACATCGTCTATCAGTACGCTGACAGTGACGTCGATAACGAATTGTTCATTGATTACAGCTTTAATAAGACTGAGGAGCTCCCAGAATCTCGTGAAATAACGAATTATTCGGAATACCAGGAGTACTCGGGCGACGAGCTACGCAGAAGAAATTCTAGTCCATGTCGAATCCAAACATCAGTAGTGGGCATTCAGGGACCTAGGACAACCATTCCAAAGAAGCTTCTGGAAGGAGACAAAGACCAACCACTAGATCTCACTAGCGATAGTGTTGGCCCAACTAATAACGAAAGAAATCTCGCGAATAAAGGCGACTTCTCTCCAGTCGACTTAACTACGCGTAGGGATCACAACTGGCTTTGTTTCCCCCAAACTGTGGAAGCTGTAGATTTGTCAAAAAACACTCGTCTGGAGAGCGGATCCCCCCCGCCTAACCGCGCCATTGTCAAAGGTCACGCATCTGTCTCAGCGTTTACCTCGTTAGAAAATCACGCACCCTCCTCCAGAGATGGAGGTTGTACACCACGTGCTGGGCCCGCCCTTAGCGGTAGGGAGGCTGTGCCCCCAGCAGTAGATGCCTCGTTGATGCGGGACTACGCTGAATCTACGATGAAAGAACTCCTGGGTATCTACGGTCTGAATGACATGGGGGACTCCATCACCAAGCACGTGCCACTACAGAACTTTTCCTCAGGTAAGGTTGTATTTGTCATAGTTGAAATCTCTCGTGCTTTTAGTATCTTAAGGTTCGTCGCGAAGAAATTCATTATAAAGCTTTAAAATGTTCTTTTACACGATGATTGTTTTCATGACGTTCAGTCTTCATTACATACGTGGATAACTTCACGTTTCGTTTAATAACTGCTTAATAACGTGAGAAATAAAATAACACAGATAAGTAGAACACAATAGTTTAATGACTTATATGGCAAACAGAGTAGAATAGCACAAAGCCTTATGTGGTGAAAATGCAATCAGAACATAACAGAACAATGCCTTGTAAGGCAAGCAGAACATAACAGAACAATGGCTTCTAAGTTAGGCAGAACATAACAGAACAATGCCATGTAAGGTAAGCAGAACATAACAGAACAATGCTTTGTAAGGCAGGCAGAG